GCCTTGTCACAACCAGGCTGCCTGCATCTTTGTCAGAGCCAGTCGGCCAGTCAATTTTGCTCTCCAGCCTCACTTACTCACTCGTCCGGTACCATCGCGTAGACCCTTTTAAAGAGATCGCAACTCAGCCGAGAGGAGTATAGTCAATTTGGATGTGTACATGCCAAGGGTGACCGGGGCCCTGCCAATCTATCGCATTCTTCTTTGCGCTTAAGTATGGCGTGAACGAGTAGGCCAGCCGATGGAGGGCTGAGGTGAAAGGTCAGGCAGACGAGGCCTGACAGAAACGTGCTGAAAGGCAGCAAACTTCATCATTTGTCCGGGGCAATTGCCTTTGGCCTCTGGCGCCATTAGCAACGGGCAACTTGTGAACATTACGACTGACAGGATATCTGCTTTTGGAATCGCTTGGGCTTGGCGCAAAAAGACGTCCCAAGTGGAGAGGGGCCAAGTATGAGCAGGCCTAAATGGGGCTCATATACGCAGTCGGAATTGTTGGGCCCGGCAACAGCTGCGGTTGTGTCGGGGAAGCAATGAGCATGAAGGCGAAAATAGCAGAACGAAACGAAATTTGGTCAATGTTTACATAAGTTGATGCCATTTACCTATAATCTGGTGGCCATCACAATATGGTTTTCCTCATGACTACATGCGATAACTTCGCAGCAAGCCGGCCTCTCTTTCGATACAATCACATCCGATTCTGTTAATCTGTACATTTTTGCTGACTGCTCGCCGGACTGTGCATCGAGTTTCCAGCTTAAAAGCCTCCACTAACACAAATGATACCTATTTTGCTGTACTTATGATTTATTTTCAATGTGAGCATCTGCTGAGACTTCTGGCAATTCTCGAATATTCATATCAGATCGTCTAAAATGCTATAATGATTGAAAGAGCATTTTGTCCCACGATGATATGAGTAGGCCTAAAGAAGGTGGGTAGTTTCACTAAGCCTTGCCTGTCGAAAGACCTGATTTTCAATAAACTGCAGGTTCTATCCCGCCTCATCTTCACACTCAAACTCTAAAAGTGATTTGATGTCGGGTCGTGCTCATTGTGGCGAAAAGTAACCATTCTGCTAGTCAGCCACAGTTGGGATTAGGTCAAAGGGAAGATGTTACATTCAGGAGAGGCTAGGCCTGTAAAGAAAAAAGCTGGTTTTTTAAAACGTCCTCATTAGCATTTTTGTGGAAATGGCTATCATGATTGTGAAAAACCAGCCACATTACCTTGTAGGGAAGAGCATTAAAGTAAACTTAACGCGATAGGGGAACAATAATTTACGGAAATTAGGCTCCATTTTTGTAGAGGCAAAACGAATCGGTTCCAAATAATCGCTTAATGAATTCATGAAAGTTTACTCTTTGTGTATATATTAGGGAAGATGGCACTTCAAAGAATCCCTTAATGGGTTGATGCTAATGTTTCATGCATTTCATTTGAAAATGCAGATTAAATTAGCCAGAAAATTGGCCTCACTGGAGGCTAAAGGAGCACGAGTTCACCAAGGAGGCAGTACGGTGAGTCAGGCGCTCATTGGTATACTCAAATAGTCTACACTCCAAAATTATCTACCAGCGATTTACAATTTCATTCCAATTGAGTATAACTTAAAAATAATAATTAGAGTAACACGATGCCAGGAATTTTCTAAATCATATTTATAATAGGAATTTTAATGAGGCAAACATGTAGTTATGAAATGTATTCACCCTATTTCGTTAAGTTGATTAATGATTAGTGGTTGAATTTTTTCCAAATTGACCTAAAGTTTCATTGAAGTTTCTACAGTCTTACTTATAAGGTATTCTCATCCTTGCATTCTTCACCCATGGAGGAAGACTATTTAATGATGCCAAAAAGTCCTTAGTTCATCCACATGCTCAATCAGTCAATCAGATCTGTGCTTTCTACAATCTCGCCATATAAAAACAACATATTTCACGGGCACATCGCCCAATTCAACAGTCTTGAATCCACGGCGGGAAGTCTTCCCACGGTTTCTGGTGGGACCCTTCCAACCAACGTTTCCTTCGAAGGAGAAGGTTATGCCAAAATAAATCACTATGAATTTTTTCAAAAGCCATATTTTATTCATATAAATCATGGAGTGCACAGTAAGTTTGCAGCCGGCCACATTTTCTCTTGGTTTAATATACTGGTGCCCTTTGTAGTAGGGTATGATTTCTCGGTCTGACGATGTCTGCTACAGCAGAACAGATTAAATCTCAGCACAGTTTCATCGGGGTCGCACAAGGGTGTGTTGGGAACGTCTTCGCTCCACGCTGGTCAATTCTCCTTCGAGTGAGGATGAGGAGTGAGGCGATCCAACCTTTGCGTATAAGTGAAAAGTGGAGTCGTGCAAACGCACAAAGGGACTCTTCGAAGCGTACACAGAC